CATTAGCTTAAGGTTTTCATAGATTAGGAGAAATTTTAATTTTTTTTGTAACAAGTGATGAGACAAATAGTAATTTAGACATCAATAATGTGTTGTAGAAGTTGTTCATATCTATTAAAATCCTGAAGCCATTAATGTTAGACCACTTTTTAAAACCTAAAGCAAATGGAGAGCTGAATCATCCTAATATGGGACTCTTCAGCAGTACACACCCACGATCCAGGACGCGGGACTAGAAATTGGTCATGCAATATCGTAGATTGGTTGAGGTTAGGCATTAACATAGTTGGGTATCAGCTTATTGGTCTAAAGGTTAAGTGTTCGAACGGGACTGACGGTACTGCATTAGATTCCCACATGCAAGATCGTAAATACACACTGATGAGGAGTCCCATACTAGAATGAAACAGCCACCTAGTGTTTTCAGGTATACAGTGGTGGTCTAATATTTATCGGTTCATGATCTCTAGTAAGTTAGACAACAAGATATAACTGTGTAAACGGAATTCACTGAGAAATGTTGATAATAATGCTTATTTACTGAAAACGTATTACATTTTTAGTGATTTTTGATAGGAAAATAGGAAGACATTTTGCAATCTAACTATACTGACAGGTCAAATGTTTCATAAACTCCTTTTCCATGTGTTTTGTAAAACTAACTACCCAAATCAAAGTTTTGATTTCGTTTTGGAACATGTATTTTTCTTTAAAAATTTCAATTATTTTTTATAAGAAATTCGTTTTTAATAAAATAACAGAAAACAAGATTGATGGTTGTTAAAGGTGCTTAGAGTAATAACATCACGGTTACCTGTCACGCATAGGATATGGTTATTTCTAAAACTTATCATTTGATTTACAGATAAACTTAAACATGTTAAAATCAGACGTGAATTTCATTTTACAGAGTTTGCATATAAAGTCAATAAATTATGAGAAGACGTATTTCAACTACTTAAGTACAATAAGAGCTATTTATACCTTATTTTTATGTAATCAAATCTGAATATCAGTTAGCTCTTTTGCAATAAACTTACATTGAAAACAATGGTGAATACTCAGAAATTACAGACCGATTTTTCTTGTATTCTTCATAAAGATCTTATATATATTATAAACGAAAAGTGACTTTACAAGCATCATAACATTAATATACTGACATTGTGTACCAGACAATTGTTATTTCGTGATTATACTATAGAACTATGAGAATACAATATGGTATTAATTATTCCTATAAGTGATAAACGTTCTAGGGAAAATCAGATTTCGTTTATGCTTTACACACATGAAAATTCAAATTGTCACATTTCATTAATACTATCTAGAATGCATATAGTTCTCATGTAGATATCGTTGAATTCTTTCAGATAACATAATTAATTTATTTCAAATATCATACTAATTTAATGTTGCAATTTCACTAAAAATAAAAGAAAACTACATTTTGAACCTAGATAAAGTGATTGATGGATAAAGGTTTACTGATAAGAAATCTTCCAATTTAGCACATAAAATTAACTCATTAATTTATTGATTTTTAACATGAACAGATATTTTTAGTGCAAATTTAGTTAAGTTTGATTTGTTAACTTGATTTACCTAATATTTCTTATCATAAATAATAAAAGTACATTTACTTCATGCAAATATCCTCAGTTATCAAAGTAAATATAAATAAATTCGCATAAATATATAAATAATAATATATTCTGAAAATAATAATTACATAATTCACGCCAGTTTACAGGCATGAATAATTTGGTATAAATAGTATCATTAGATGTAGAGAATTAACATGTGATTGAAGAAAGTTTTAGGTATACTAGTCAAGTAATTGTTTAGGTAGTACATGTATTACAGCGATCCAATGCATCAGCCGGGAACTTTTAATTTTTCTTAAATGGACAGCCTGTTGATTTATGAACGGTGTAATTAAGGTCATTTCGTGTGCCAGTTAGAATTAATTATAATTATCTACAACTAGAGAAATTAAAATGAAAACAGAGAGCACGGAACAAAAAAGCAGTAATTAACGAAATATATCAATCAGATCTATCGAAATGTGTATTTCATGTGATACAGTGATATACTGTTGATGTTATTCAAATTAGTTAAACTTGCTGGGGACGGTGTTAACATAAAGTGACAGCAAGTAGGTGTTTTTACTTAAGGAATGCGTTAATAAAGATGGCTAAACATTTAAAGTTCCTATAATGTCACTTGTGGAATGAGATACACTTACATATGCTAGAACATTCAATGCATTTTTAGAGGAGCAGTATGCATCGATGCAGCGAACAAAAAGCGAGAGTGATTTTATCGTACGAAAATATTAGTCTCTTCAAATTTCTCACTTACAAACGGGCATATATGTCGATGTACTATTATTTATTGTATACTTTAATACTTTGATCAATCAAACCGTTATTCCATTTATGTCATTGACAGTGTTCTATAGTTCATGATGATAATTCTGTTTTATATTAACAATCATCATTCCACAAACAAACCTCTTCACCAAATGTCTATTATTGGGTCAATACATTAATTAATGAGAGTTAAAAGGTCCAACCTCTAAAAGTTAACTTTTATTCATACTATCTGATTAATTTGTACGTTTTTATTTTACAAAATGTCATGTAACATATATTTCACGATCTAGTTCTGAGATGTAATTTTAGTATATAGCTGTCCTTGATATTTCTTATACACTTTACTTCCCCAAAATAAAGTTGCTTTTTTTCAACATACGGAATTAATTTAAGGTCACATATTATGTACATAATTTATATATATTTTGATTTATAATTAATTTTATGTAACAAAGTCAATGTTTTATTTATTGGCAAACACTAATAGTATAAGATTGTGAGGATTGTTGAATTTTATGTGATCTAAAGGTTAAGCGTAAAGAGTCGTGAATGTTGACTGCTGAGCAGTCCCACACTAGGACGGAATGTCCATTCAGTTCATCCAGGTTTTAATTCAAATTGATTCATGATTTCAATGAAATATAAATATTATATCTAGCGCCAATGTTCATCAAATTGTATAACAAGTGGAATATTTTCAGAATAAATTTCAAAAATAACAATTTTGTTTAAGAAATTCTTCAACCGCTCAGATTATTCTCCTGTCTGATTGCGTAATCTAACGAAGTATTTTACAAATAACCATGTTTTAGTTCTTTATAATTATACAACACAAATTATTGTCTTACATTACAGTAAACAAAATGATATTTGTTTAAAATCTGTTATAAAAGTATTGTGACCGCGCTTCTATTTTGTTTCTACAACTTAAAACAAAATAAAAACAAAAATTCAAAGAATCTAAGAATCATAAATGAAACTAATAAAGCATCGTATGAATATTACTGAGAAAATAAAAACTTGAAATGTTTTCGTGAAATACATATTGAACTCTGAACATTAATTAAAACAATTAATAAATTATACTTCTCAAAAGTTTTTTTTTCACTCATTATTCTATGTGTATAAATTGATGAAGATAACAATAGTCGGACAAAAATGAGACATAAGGCTTGTACCTTTTAGATGTATTAATTAATAATTTATTCATAAGATGACTATTTAAAATACCTTGTTATTAAGTTATTAAATAATCATGTTAAGCAATTAAATCATCATTCATTTCGGCAGATTATATCATTATATTTGTTTTAAGACATTAATTCGGCATGAATATAAATTTTTTTTTAAAAAAAAAGAATATTTTATGTTTTCAGCCTGTTTTATTCCAACGAGAATTATGAATGGTAACTTTTGAGAACTATGTATGGGCTAATACGATACAGATGTATTTTTACTGTATAATTATTAAGTAACTAAACTATGCATATTTATGTTCCTTTTATTAAAAGCTTTATTTTGACCGATAGACTATTATTATATGATTTGCCGTTCTTCAGTTATGCCCAGTCTATTAATTACAGTCTCCTATATTCACAGCCAATTTTGACTAGATCTTGTACAAATGTTATTTTCTATATCATAGTATGATGTGGTCTATTTGATTTGTATATAAACCTAGTATGTTTGAAATACATAATTCATATCTTAGAGGCTGAGATTGGTGTTCTGGACTTAACAGGCAGGTTTAGGCGGGAAGCAAGACCGATTAAGACTCTAGACTGCTCACACGTGTTTTATGAGTCATTGTTAATTACTGTTCTCAAATTAGCGGTATCATTACGTCATATATTGATAGGGTCACAAGGTTATAGGCTGTAACAAAACCTAAATCAGATCATGCTTTTACAATGAAAACATGTAGTTGAAGAGGAAAATTTTGCAAATTATCGCTTATTGGATTAGATATTTAAATGTCAGCTACTAGTTTGTTCTGTGTGGTAAAAGATTCACATTTACTTGTGAAGAAAATCAAAAATTTAGTTCGCATAAATGTTCTCTTCGTCTGGGGATGCTAACAATGCGGACAAAACTGAAAATAAATTATTTAATACAAATTTTCATGAAAACCTAGAGTGTTTTAAAGTTTCTAAAAGTATAAAAATGCAAAAGCTTTAAAATTAAGTGAAATTAAATATTTAGAGCCACTGAGGTCTTTTTGAATTATAAAAAGAAGAAAAATATTAACTGAAAAGATATACATTATGCATTTTGTAAATATAATAATTTGATTAAGTTACATGCCTGGATACCAGATGATAACAGCTGCTGAGTAAATACTAGTTAGTCTGAAAAAATGTGACTACTGTTATAATAAACACATGAAGTGGGTTAATGTTCTAAATATCCATCAGTAAATAGTGTCATTTACAGTATACGATTATAAAAAGATTTTGTTAACCGTTTCTCGACTGTGTTTTAATGATGTAAAATACGTTCAGCAAATTGTAACATTATTAAATTTAAATCAGAGATACAAACATAATCTCTAGCATAATATTTAGGTTTTTTACAAGTATTTACATCAAAATCTTAATCAAATAATTGAACATACAATTTTAGGTGGGATTTTAATTCTAAATTTGACAATAGTTCACATTCATAGAAGATCAACTAGGTTAAAGAAATTCAACTTTTAGAAGTTAGTGTAATTTTACTGCACCTACAGGAAATAAAAGTTATTTCTTATTTTGTACAGATTTATTTAAACATGAGGATGTAATCAATGTTTATTAAAAACTAGTATAAATTTATGAAACATTTGAAAATCAAAGTATTTATGGAAAGAGCTACTTTTTTCTCTCTCGGATTTGATTCTACCTCTCATATATGAACATTGATGAAAAAGGTCCCAAATAAGGATGAAAAGTATGCTAGATATATTTTTATCTTCACTAGTTTTCTAACTAATTTCAATCTAGGACGAATTATGTGTTATATAACAGACCATTTAACTAATGAAAATGATACATGTAAATCAAACTATATTTCTTTTTGAAACATTTTTCATATCTTTCCACAATAAAGACTTAGATCAAATACATTAAATATCCGTTAAAGTATAAGTGTAAAAACAGCTGAACCATATTTTGCGGTAAAATAATATTGGACACTTTAGAAAAAATCTTTGATAAGCATCAGTACATCAGGTATCTCGTTTTTTTTAATGGCTGGTAGTTAAGCATTTTATTCAATACAATAGCATAACAAAAAAAACCAGAACTAGAGTTTTGAAAAGTTGAAACCTTTTCTTATGAGTTAATTTTTACTTACAAACATTAGTTTTAATCATTTATGTACAAACAGAACTTTTTTTAGCGTAACAACTTGAAATTGAAACATTATACAAGCGGCACATTTCATAATTAAGTAAGAATAAAGAAACATTGATTGCTACATGGAATTATTACATAGAACATTTATTCCATACTCATTCGCCAACAATACCACATTTAAATCTGTCTATCGATTTTCAAAATTATGATGTATGTAGCTGACAGACTATTTTGCTAGCCAGTGGATTTTACAAAAAATATTTTAAAGCAGTAGATAGAACTTTTTACATTTCCTCATCTCCCTTCTAATTCTTTATAATACAATAGAAATTCATTTCAGAATTCATAAAGTTCGAGAAATTATTATTTTTAAAATCTTCTACACAAATAGACAATAAATCTATTCATGTTTCCGTTATCTATACATATTTGTTACAGTTTATTTTACCTTAACAAATAACTTTAGTTGCGTGACCAGAAAGAATTAGTATAAATTCTTTAACCCCAGGAAAATTTTAAAAAAATCTTTTACATCTAGCTATGGATAACTTTGAAAAGTCAAAGTTTATTTATTTGTAAAACATATATTTATGATTACCTTGTATTATCAACAATTTGTTACCTTGGATGTTATATCATCTACAAGTAATCTGTATAACAGTTTTATGATAAAACTGTTTTTAAAACATTGTTGTAATGAACATTAAAGAACTAATATGTTTGATGATTTGGATAAAAATATACATATTCACTTTGCTTTATTTATTATTTGTTTTCTAGATTTTTATATTTAAGATGGATGAAATTTAAACCCCTTAGTAACTATTGATAATTTGTATTCAAATTTAAATTTATTACAGTTAGGTTGGAAAAATGTAGTTGTTAATAAAATTGTTAATATATTTGTGATAACCAAATTAGTAGAAAATTAGATTTTTAGTGTTTTGTAACTTTGTTCAGCTGGCTTTTCAAGAATAAATTGTTATTTACAATCTAGTCAATGTTCAATTTATTTGAAATTACAAAGTCGAATTCCAGTAATGATGTGAGAAATATAACTTTGACGACTTAATCATGTAAATGTTTTCTGAAGCTTTTACAGTATATGTGAGAAGATATAAAGTAATTGTAGTCTTCTTTTGCAAAAAGATACTTGGTGTGCAAACAATAAAATTTATACAAACAATACATCTGAAATTCACTGCGTATCTAAGTCAAAAGCAGATAGTAAAAATTCCAAAATTTAGCTAAAAATCCAAAATTAAGAGATAATCAAAAAATTGATAACGCTTTTAAAGTTTAAGAAGTACTCGCCAGGACAAAAACACAATTTTTAATAAGTTTTGGCGTCAAAAACAGTTTAGAAAGTCAATGTGTAAAATATAGCTTAGCTATAAATCGTTTAAATAGATACAAATGAAAGATTTTTCATTTTTAGTTTCGCATAGAACGCTCATCAGACAGGAGTATCTCGTTGTTCGTTGAACGCAAATGTTGTCTACTATAGTGATTTGTGACACTTTTCTGTTTGACTGGTATCACAAAATTATTTCGTTATAAGCATAATTAATGTCTCATGTTCTCACATCAACATCAATGACAAGTAATACGAATTATGTTGCATTTGTTGACACACTGTACCATATCATCAAAACAAATTCCTTAATATCTGAATGCTATTAAAATGTAGGAAACAATGCATTATCCAATTACCAAATTTCTATTTATTCCTCTGTTAAATGTCCTATCTGTTCTCTGATTCATAATTACTTTGTACTTTACAATTACAATATCTTTTTTTTAATCATTCAGTCAGTCATTCCACATAGTTTTAGAATCACTGATAAAATTATAAAACTACTGCTTGATATGTATTATTTTATTATTGTGAATAATACATATCTGGTTAGAGCCATGATGAAAAACTAATTGAAAAGAACTATTTCTATATTTCGTTCATTTTATTTTACCGAATTCTGACCAAGTATACAATTTTATACAATAAATGGATATCGACTAAGAATATCACCATCTATATAAGACTAGATATGCAAAAAGTATGGAGGAAAATATATCTTTAATTAGAAAAATATTTCTCAAACTCGGATATAAAGATAGTTATATTTTAAAAAGCATATTATATCAATATAGACAAAACAAACTTGAACCAAAACGATTCTTTTAACATCATAAGCTTTTCTATGTCTACTGAGAAAAGATAAACGTACAAGAAGCTATAAACGTGTACAACGTATTTTTAAAAAAATATTTATTTCAGAAAGGGATTTATATGGATATTATAATAATTTTAATAGTTGAGATCATGAATCAATTGAAGCTAGATCACCATAGAAAACAGAGAATGTTTAGTCTAGAAACGAAAATACCATGAAGTCTGAAACAATTGATTGACATTTTGCAAATGAATTATTTACTGTATGGTTATCACATTTCACTAAGATATTCTGTAGTTTTGTATTCCAATACTGTTCCTACTTATGTTCTTATTCACTACATTATGTTAAAATTTATAAAGTTTTAGTAAAATTTTCATCCATAGCTCATGCAGTGATAACCTTTCATCGTTCCGATTCTTTGTTAATACTTATTTGTTAAATATTATTTACAAAACAATACAGTTTTATCATATTCATTAAGCAAAAAAATAAGTAGTATTTTTATACGAACTGATTAACTATATAAATATAGTGTTCATTTAAACGGTTAAAATTTTCTTCCATTAATGACTTTCATGAGAAATAATGAGGTTTGTGTCAATACTTAATAATAATAAATAAATAAATAATCGTTTTGTTATATTCACAATTGCTGAGTAAGAGTTTCTACATTACTTCTTAATAAACTTCTCATTTTTCCTGATTATTACAAAACATGAAAACCCTATTTACTTTAAATTATTTATTTTCATTCAATAAAACAAAACAACTATTTATTCAAAAATACTTGAATATTTTCCTTACAAATTCACAGTCTTGTATACAATTATTTCGTTTTATGTAAACATTTCATAAAGATGTGATATCTTAAGAATTGAGAGTAAAGATTAATCTAAATAATGATTAACTCAGATTGAATACATGCCATGGAAATAGTTTTTGCTAGAGTTTTATTCTCTGAACTGGATAGTTTGGTCGTAGAGATTTCATCGTTCTTCTGAATGACATCATCAGTACAAACTTCAGGTAGAAGTGAAGTGTTCCAGAAATTCGATGAAATACAGTGAAAGCTTCACGACCAAACTATCCAGATCAGAGAACAAAACTCTACTAAAATCACCCACCTGAGATATAAATCTTCACCATCTTAAAATTGAAATAGTAAAATGAATTGGAAGAATAGTTAAGTACATTTCATATTGACTCACGATCTATAAATAACTTCCAAAATTTTATTCTAGTGATTATTACCTATATAAAAAAATTCAATTAACCTAAGAAAATGTTTTGTTATTAGAATTCAAGTATGTTATGAAAGAGTTGACCCCAAGCAAGTTAAGATGCCTTATACTGTTAAAACTATTTCCATACAAACTGAGTACTGCTACGACAAATTTGTTTATGGTATTAATATCTTTCTATAGTGGGTAAAACGTTTTTCTACAAATTCTGTTTGACATTGAAGTTATTGTTAATGCATCATCATAGTTCAATAGTGAATCTCAAATTGTTCGATTGATGTGGTTTTGACTCATACAAGAAAACAAAAACTCCGATGCTAGAATGTCCAGATGGTTATGACTCTTTTTATCCATACGTTCATGATGATATTATGAAAATCAAATAATGTTTTCTTTTACTTACATTTGTAAGTGTAGCGAGTTGGTCAGTGAATTTACTTTCATTATTCACCTTCAGGTTCCCAAATTATTGATTGATTGTTACTTGTATTAATTTTTCCATAGATGAACTTATTAAACATTAATATTCGGAATTGTTGATTCTATACCTCTGCATGTTAGATCATAAGGCTGTGACCAATTGGATTCAATCGTGTTAGATGTGAGGCAGTTACCGATTGAAGACAATAGAAGAGGGACGCGTGACATCATGAATTGATTGAAGTTAGAAATTAACACTGTTGGATTCCGGTTCAGTGGTTTGAAGGTTAAGCGTTCTTGCGTGATACGGAAAGTACTGGGTTAGATTCCCGGGTGTGGAATTGTGACGAAACGGTCATCAGTGCTTACAGGTTTTCAATAGTGGTCTAGCATTGATCAGTTCACGATTTAGTGAAACTCATGAATCTCCACAACCCTATCAATTAAATCACCCTAGTGAAAATCGGCCACATTACTTTTCATATTGATTATAATTAGATTTTGTGTTGAGTTCCACAAGTAAATCTCCACTTTAGCAATAATATCAATAAGTGGTGTACGTTATTCGCTATTATCAAAAAGCTCAAATGCATTCAGGCTCAATGGTCAACTAGAGGCACATTTTTCACAGAACTTACAAATTTTGTCAAACAATGCATGAGGTAAAGCGACTATTTAAATTAATTTATAACTAATACCACAAAATGAAATCTATAAATTAACTATCATTTGTAAAGCATACAAAAGATGGTAGTTTTAATGAGTTAAACACAGTTATTTGAGTACGAATATATATGATTTTGATCATAAATAAGCTCATTCAAGCAACTACAAGTTTTCAGTCTGATCTCTATAATATATTCATAATCTGTCAATGAAACTGAATAGATTTGTTAAATGCATAATGTTAATCTTATTAAAAAAGAGGGAACTGTATGTAGTTTACTAACTAGTGGCTAATACTTATGCTCTTTTTTAAATAACCTTTTAAAATACAGTTTGAGTTTCCAACATAATTAATTAAACCACATTTTTAAATGTCCAAATAGAGATCATGCATTTAATAAACTTTTTGTTATTTGAGTGACAGCTTAAGTCATCAATAATTATCTTTGGTATAATTTTCTCTTTTTAGCCAATACTACATTCAGTTAAGTTCACTCTGAGATGTTTGGCAAAATACAAATTCTAATATTTTTGCTTTCAACAATTATGCTTTATAGCATGCAAACAAGTGAGTAAGAACGAAAACTGAACTATAATTTTAATGATATGAAATTATATGAGTATCTGTTTGTTAAATAATTCAATGATACTGTTTACGTTTGAATAACCCTTATAGACATTCTGACTAGTGATATATTGCAGGTAGTGATTACTTATATTATACATTGCAACCTTTACTATACACTTTCCTGTATTTATTTTAAAATGAATAAAAGTAAAGGTCAACCGGAATGAAAATTTAATGGAATTTTCGGACACAATTCAAACAGAATGGATCAATAGGAACACAAGGTTACGGAAATATGAGATAATTTTTCTAGTTAAAATAAAAATTGACAAGAAAAGTATCTATATGTTTTATTTTAAAACATACGGTGCACTGTTTGAATCGATGTATTGTTTTATACATAAGCTTAAACATTACAGTATGCATAACCGCACTCAACATATTATCTATGGAACATAGGACAAAGTGAATCGAATAGCCAATTAGCTGCTAAATGATAAGAGTGTATGACCATGAAAAATATTTCATTTGATGCTGTTGCAATAACTTAATGTCCTGTCTGACAACGACCAACGTTTCTGACGGTTTATAGAAGCTGTATGCATATGTATAAATAATATGCTTTCATTAAGAAATAACGTATATAATACATATCACTAACTTCATAAGTTTACATGTAGTTGATCTTAAACGTTTGCAGTGAGTAGATAGAATGTTATAGACGAAGTCAGATAATGACATTATTCCACAAATAGATATGCTATTTTAGATATCATCGAAGAATACTTTTGTTTATATGAGTTTACAGATAGTGTCATATATATATATATATATATATATATATATATATATCATGTGGTCGGTAGTATACACCATATAATCACTCATATAATTTCAATTAAACAGTAAAAGTGTTATAGATTGTATATTTATCCAACATCATATACTATACCTTGTGAATAATACGAACATTATTTTCCTATCATTTTTGTGGTACAATTTCACCTGTTGCTTAGGTTTGGCTTAGGTGCATTTGAATTAAAAAGAGTTATATTAAAGCGGTATTAGCTCCAAGTCATAAGTTCACAACGACCATTTACAGCATTCGTTTAGTTACTTACAACTACGAACTGCCTTAAATAAACTTCTCTTCCTATCATGATAGTTTTCTGTCCTGTAAAATGTGAAGTATTTCTAATTAAGGCTAAAAACAAACCCATATAGTTCAGAACCATTCCTAGAGTTACTTCGTAATTATTATCTTAATAGTAATAACAATCTCTATAATTTCTCATTTTGTATTCGATATACTTGTTATAGTAACAGTGTCATTTTGATTTATTGATTAGGCATGAGATACTTAATTGACATAATTTCCTTGGTATCTGATGATAATTTTAACTAAAGACTGGGCTTATTTAAAAAAGCTGTGAATTTGATAGATTTTACGTAAAACTATAAGGTTCTTCTCGAACACCCAGGGCCATGAACGTGATTGAACGCGAATCCATCAAGTCTCCTGGAAACTATAATATCTTCAATCCACTCAGTAGGGTTGTCACTTCAGTGTATTTGCGATTCTTTATAATCATCAACCAGCATCACAGGTGATAACTATTTCTTTGTTGACATAATGGAGTATTATAAATTATGTCTTTTCATTAGAATTTTAATGACATTTCTCCTAAGTAACAACTTGTGATCACATATTTATTATTTAACTTGGGAACAGTTTTTGTCATTGAATGATATGAAATTTAGTAGACTTTACAAATCATTTTTCATGATTTCCTTGACGGTGTTATGAAACTTCACGTTCTTTGGTATTTATTTATTAGATTTAACAAGATCCAACAAAGATTTATTATTGATATATAATCAATGAAAGTTTTTACCGTTTCATTTTATTTTATTATTGCTTTAGCTAATAAAATTAATGGAGAACCAATGCGTCGATGGTATCCTTTAGGAGTTGAAGCCCCTAGAAAACCTTCATTCAGTCAAGGTGATAGTATTTCTGAACTAGAAATTCCTTATAATGGTGATCAATATGATTCAGAGGTTATGAAACGAGCTGTTCGATTAATGAGACTTGGTTAATCAACAACAACAAAAAAAAAAGAAAAAATGTTGACAGAATAATAATTCGAACTAATTTAAATGTTCATTAAATAAGAATTTATATTACATTTATTCATTACTTTTTTATTATTAAGTAAATTGTTTTATCATAACAATGAATTCTACACTATATGCTGATAGAAACATATATTTCGTAGTGTAATGATTTTAGGTTTTTTTCTTTAAAGAATATTATGGATCAGTCAGGGGGAAATTTTTCATTCAATAAATACATAACAACTAATTCAACAGTGAATCACTGTACAGTTTTAAGTATTCAAAGTTCAAGTAGTTTTTCATTAAGATTATGATTTCATCACTTAATAGTTATTCAATATATAAAGCATATAACAAGATCGACTAAACTAAACTAAACTGAAAGTTAGAAACATTTTTTTAAAATGCGCTTTGATTTAAACGAATGGAACTAAAATAATCGTCAAAACAATGTGATCAAACGAAGATGGAGAAGATGATAATTAACAATAGACTAAACGTTGATTACTCTCATTATGTGAATAAGAATAATATTCTTTGATAATCTGATTGTAAACTTATCTCCTTTTTTGAGGGGAATTCGAAACATTTTTTCCATTAGTCACTCTTAAGGGATTTTCATTGTGTACTGTATATTACTAATCGATAAGTGATTTGTTCAATAAACCAGGCTATCAACTACTAAAATATACCTCGACACATGGCTCCAGTTTAAGAAATCTGTAACTTCTGACTTGCAGCATAGGTAATGATGACTATTTCCCTCCAATTAATAGTTGAAATAACATAGCTCTTAAGATGCATTCATTCATCATTATGTCCTTGCAAATATTAGGTTTTACGTATATGAAATATGTTCCTTTACTGACTTCATTTGTTTTTCTCGAACTATACTTTGCATGTGTAGTAATTCGAAGATATTACTTTTCATTAAGTCAATATTTTACTGCATTTACTGTTGTGAAGCGTTAAGAATCCGAATCATATATGTCTGTGTCAGGTTCTAAGTTGTTTATGAATAATTGACTAAATTTATGTGGAGTAGAACTACCAAGGTACTCAGATCATCATTAACTAGATGTATCGAAAAACGTGGATTGAAACGAATGAATACTAGATTTTCCTCCCTTCTGAAACCTTGACATCAGTGCTTATATATGTTTTATTTGACACACTTTAAATTTTGTGAAAAACATCCAATTACCACTTTCCCACATGGTGAAAATCGTTGCCAATTTAGAGGTAGAGATTTGTTTTGCGTAGACACCATCTTTATTGACTACTGCGACAACACAACGCCTTATTTAATATATAAACTGATGTGAATTAGGTAAACTACCACAATCTGTAAAAGACAATAAATATCATAAACAATGAATTACAAAACGTCCAGTGACTACTTAAACGTAAATGTTAATTATAAAGGCGGCTCGTAAGAAAATGACATAATATGACATTAGGAACTTCTAACGAAATTTCACTAACACATTTTAGTATTTTTTTCACTCTTTTCCAATCAGTATACATTTTTTAAACTCTAAAATTGTTAAACATAGCCTTTGAGCATTGAGGCACTTTCTGCAAAAAACAATTGTCTGTAAACTGATGAATTTCAGGCTCATTAACTGTTTTCAACAAAATCACATCACAGTTCTTTATACAAATTTTCAACATTTTGGAAACTGACAATCTGTATCTTGCCAGATTTTTGATAAATATATCATCAAGGAATATTTTTTATAGGCTCCCCATAATTATGCTTTGAACTGACGGTTTCAAACTTGAACAACATGAAACTGTGTCTTCATAATTTCTAATGTCAGTGGTTGTTTAAATTAAACATAAGATATTGTGAGATGGTGGAGAAGATTTGTAGCTCAGGTGGATGATTTTGATGGAGTTTTGTTCTCTGAGCTGGATGGTTTGGTCGTGGAGCTTTCACGACCAAACCATCCAGCTCAGAGAACAAAACTCCATCATAAGATATTGTCATTAGTTACCAATACTTGTAAGTAAACACTATTATGTTCGGCGAATAAACAATCATAAAAACCTTCAGGTTGTTCAATAATCACATTTGGATTTCCTCTGAACAAATAAACATGTTTCGTATACTGATGGTAACTTATTAACTGTATATGATTTTTTTACCAACCAGTCATATTTCATTTAGTGAATTTTACCATCAGAAAATTATTTATAAAAGGATATCACATTTGTTAAAACTACCTTGGCCATAGAATACTAGAAACTAAAACCACGATTTGAAATTATTATACAGAGATTTATCAATTATTTATCGCATCAATTTTTTTCTGAAGCAAACGATATCTGTAAACTGGTAGTATTCTACCTACAACCTCAATACCCAATTCATTGATTCACATCATTCACAAATTTATTCCCGATAACGCCATCTCTTCAAATAGTTCCGTATAAAACTATGAATAAAATTTCTGTAAAAACGTCAATAATTTAATTATCATATCGGAAACAAATCCCATTTTATCTGATTAATAAAGCTTTATTAGAGGATTAGACAAACGTGTAATTATGGATTAAATGGAGATTTTCATAGCTTTTCTGTAAAACAACTTTCTGATGCATAATACGTTGGTTTAATCTAGTCAATATCTTAATTATGTATTTCAGAATAACTTCTAAAATAGATGCTGAATGTTTCCAAATGTTTGAATAATTATCCATTATGTTTTACAGAAAACATAGTTACTAAAATTTAATTTCCAAACTTAAACATTTAATGTTGACGTTATATTTTAGTATCTTCGTTAATAAATTAGAACTGTATTTAATGTCAGTGACCCTGATATAGTGCTGGTTTTCTACTAAAAACAGGATTATCTATATATCTCAAATTCTTTAGTAAAACCCCCTACAGTAGTAGTTCAATTCTATTATATTTGTTGTCGGTGTGACTCACGAAGGACAGTTTCCATGAGGTTTAGCTGCTCTGCGTGATAAGGCGTCTACGTTTTGTTATTAATTACCGGACTTATGGATGTATTTGTAGTCATGTTCTTGTAATCACTCTCACCATCGATTAATCTTCTCTTCGTACTGTCTATAATTATGTAACCATATCAAAGCTTTATGATCAGTTCTAATAATAAACCTACGTCCTAATAAGTAATGCAGGAAGTAATGCACAAATTAAACGACTGTTAACATTTATTTGCGTATTGTACAATAATTTCTTTCTGACTCATGTGACAATCTACTTCTGTATTCAATAACTTTTTCTTTTCCGTCCGAAGAAACTTCTTATAATACAGAACTGATAACTTGCATTGGTGTCTAAGATGAAACGGCCAGCAGTGGAAAAATAATCCGAATGTGATAAATTGGCGTCAAATATAATAACTCTTTTAACTGGTCGAAAGACTGTTAACACCTGCCAGTCCGTTCGAAGTTAATATTTTTTTCCTAGCAAGGTATAAAGATAAGCTGCAATCTCTAAAGTTACTTGGGTTAACATTCTGTAATAAGTTGATAAACCTAGGGAGTTGTGGAGTTCATTAGTAGTTTCGAATAACACCGACGTTTTTTGCTATTTGAGAGTATTCCTTGATCATCAACTACATAACCTAGAAATTTAACTTGCTTCCTCAACGGGCAACACTTCGACGGTTGTACTTTAAAATCTAATTTCTGAAAGCGTTCTAGAACTATTTGCAAATTTTCTAAATGTTCTTGAGCGTCATCCAGATACACTAAGCAAGCATGTGGCACCAACCCAGACAGTGTTGTATGCATTCATCTCAGGAAAGTAGAAAGCATATTAGTTTGATCAAACGGCATTGTTCAAAATTCATATAAACCCTGACTCAAATTAATGCAAGATTATTCAAAGCATATATTCATATTATGCAAGTTACAGAGGTAAAATTTATTTTTAAATCATTGCCATGCAGTTATTAAATAAACCATATATTCAAAGAATACATTAAGAAACGATAACCTTGGAAACTATAACTTCCAGTCAGCCATACAGAATCTGTCATACGTGCTATTTTCGAAGATGAAAAGTAGTGTTGATTTTAAGACGACTTAGCTGTTTTCTTTACTGCTAACGATAAAATTTAGGGGTATAATCATAAATATTTAAAAAAAGTCGTGATTTTTTAGTACTATCGAGATATGTACTCAATAAAAACACAGTTTTCCTATAATTCAGTCATGCGACGACTATAACTAATTACAATCTAAGTGTTAAATGATTTCCATCACACCCAAAATATTCCAATGTGTATTTGTTATGTGAAAAGAATTAACTGTCCCAAATATTAGTTCTAGACCATTTAAACATTGCTTGCTACCATAAACTATATTCCAACAGAGTGAAAAATTTTTTGTTTTGCATTCATATACATGAAACAATCTAAAGCCACACTTACTAACAAAAATAACACCACGAAAATTTTAGATGAGTACAGGTTTTTCGTTTTTGTTTACAGAAAAACAAATTTATTTACGACAATCGGATGCAATGGAAAATTTACTACGAGAATCATTACTAATTCATGTGTGTCACTCAAACTACAGAAAGATATCCTATTTTAAGTAAGATTTGTAAGATTGTGAAACTCATAAGAGTGTTTGAATAAACATCAGTAATTTTTTGGGCTAAATAACAGTTCATGACATTTTATCGGCTTGTTAAATAAAGAACCAGAGAAGTGAATTAAAGGATAGTAAATTATAGTGGTACTTTATAATAAAAAGCTTATTTATTTACAGAAATAAGCTAGTAGTGTATATAACTTAATGTACCGTCTACCGATCAACTATGATACAGCATATATATATATATATATATATATATATATATATATATATATATACTGGTCATCTCATCTACGAAGTCAAGATCGTCCAGCTACATCCTAGCTCTCCACTGTATCCCATGCTTCAACCAGATGTTGGCATTTCATGATCCAGTCGATCACCAGAAGAAACAGAAAGGGTGAGAGTAAGAAAACTTGTCTGACACCGGCTTTTACCTCAAACGATTCTGTGAGATGTCCCCCATGTACGATTTTGCAGTTTAATCCATTATAAGAGTTCTGCATGATATTGACTATCTGTGGTGTTTGAATGAACTAATGATTCCTTTGTACTTGTTGAATGCCTGATTTCGAATTTCAAATACAGTACATTTGTGTCGTACTTCTTGATTCAATTGTGTTATTTCTCGGATTCTTAGTTCATACTATAATTCAATTACTCCCAATCATCATATTGGCGTCGTGAGCAGGATCTGCGATGAAACAGCTAGAAATCCATTCAGATTTTTATGCTTGTGAGGATTACTTTGAAAGATTCGAAATCTGGGATACGACCAAGGAAAATGATGAGGATGTTAATATTGTAGCAAATTTCCTCACAATCACCGGGAAAAAAGCATATAGCTTTATAAAAATTTTGGCTTTACCGGAAAAGCCCATTTCTCTTCCTTCTACAACTCTCAAGGAACTACTTCTAGACTATGCTAAGTATACAAATTCCGAATGCGGTAAAGGGAGATTTCGTAAAATGATTCATGAGGATATGAAAAATCCCACTACATTACGTCACCTCATCCCAGTGCATACTCAAGGTTGGGCAGATAATTCATTTGGGAATTGCGATGCAGTTGACGAGGATGGGCACAAGTTTGGTCAATGTTTGTGCTGTGGCAGGTTCCACTCTTTTAATTCATGTAAATTTCGTAATTCTAAGTGCTTTAAATGTGGTGATATTGGACATATTCAGTCAGTTTGTAATACTACTGCTCATCTTGCTGCAACTAATATTAAATCTTGTGATTCTGATTCTATTAAGTTGAGTATTTATAATGATCATTTATCTTTATCAATGATTTCAAAAGACAGTTTAGAGTCATATAGCAGTTCAGAGTTAAATGAAACTCATAATCCTTGCGAGGCAACAATTTCTAATCAATCAAACCATCAGATTTCTCATGTTATTGTACCAGATATGACTTTTCCTAATGATTCACATTTCGGATGAACCTAATCATGATCGAAAACCTGATGTAGTTTTGATTGATGCTGATTTTTCTAATGATCCTTTGCTCTGCAATGACATTCTTAATAAATTTGAGGAAACTATTTCAGAAGAATCAAATCTTGATGTCATATCAAATATTATTTGTCTTCATGATGCATTTGTTTCTTATGGGAAACTTGTAAAATGCGATGCACGAGTATAAAATGAGCTCGATTCTGATTACAATTCAGATAATTCCATATCAACTGTTGTTTGTCCTTATCATGAATTCACTTCCGATGTTTACTCTAGTCAAATTGAGAAAGATGTTTTAAATGGAGCCACATTATTCATAACTTGGGGATATGAAGATCCGACATTATTTCGTGGGGGAGGATAGTCTGAATGTCTATGGTTGAAATTCTAGGTAGCAGTAGTTTTAGTACTCAACCGACATGATGATCATACACAATCCCAGGAAGCAAGTGAGTCTGTTCCGGTTTCGGTTGTTAATTCTAATACTAATGAGTGCATCCTAGATAATACAAAGTCTTTATCCAATATACTGTCGGACAGACACAGGATGAACTTAAGAAGAAGACGTGCAATCAATTACAGACACCTGGACTCCAATTTAAGCTGTGGCGGATGTGGTGTTTGAATGAACTAATAACTCCTTTGTACTTGTTGAATGCCTGATTTCGAATTTCAGATACAGTACTTTCGTTAGTGCTTGTGTCGTACTTCTTGATTCGATTGCGTTATTTCTGGGATTCTTAGTTAGTACTATAATTCAAATACTTCTAATAATCATACTCTCTTCGCAAGCACACCGTAGAGTCAGAGAAGCCTTCGTAGCGTTGTTCTGTCCGCGCTATCAAATGCTTTCTCGTAGTCAATGAAGTTGATGTGGAGTGTTGAATTCTGCTCAACTGGTTTTTCCGTGATAATCCGTAGTATTGCGAGTTGGTCCGTACATGATCTATCCTTACGGAATCCAGCCTGTTGATCTCGTAGTTGGATGTCCACAGAATTCTTCATTCTGTTTAACAACACCTGGTTGAAGACTTCTCTTGTGATTCAGTGAAGAGTGATGCCAGCGTAGTTCTCACATTTTCTGAGATCAGATGTCCTACTTTGCAATCTGTTGGTACTTGTTCTTCACTCCAAATCTTACTGAAGAGAATGTGGGGTATCTTAACACTTACTGCTACGTCTGACTTCAGTGCTTCAGCTGGTATATCGTCAGGTCCTGATGCTTTACCATTCCTGATTCTTCTGATGGCCATCCTGATTTCTGCGGTCTTTCGTGGAGTGACATCTATAGGAAGGTCTGTGTTTCATACTTCCTTCTCTTGAGGCTTTTACCGTTGTCATTGCTAAGTGTTTCACGTATTTCTGCTTGTTGGCTCCTCTTCACTTGTTTGATTACTTATGCTTATTCAGCTTGTGCCTTGACTTTCTCTGCTCTTATTCGGCTGACATTGATTGCTGCCTTCTTGTTCCTCCTAACTTGAATCTTATCCAGTGTATCAACAATGAATTACTTCCAGTGATGGTGCTTCTTCTGACCCAGAATCTCTTGACACGTTGGAGTTAGTGCTTCTTTTATCCGTTTTCAATTGAGTAGATTCTGTAAGGCTTGGAACCTGTTGTTGAAAGTTATCTTGGATTAAACAATATCTCGAACAAAGGTTTTATTGAATCTTAGCAATTCTTTTTCCTCAAATATTCAATTTTTTGCTTCATTTTTAATTTGTTAGCAACTATATAGTGATGATCTCAAGCTATGTCAGCGTTTTAACTAATTCTCACACCATCTATTGGCCTTCCGAATGTTTTATTAATGCAAACATGATAGATCTGGTTCTCCGTGGTATGAACCGTTGAGACCCACTTATGCGCTCTTGTAGTATTATTGTACGAAATATAACCGATTCCCGTTCTTCTCTCTTGGTGAGTTCATGTCGTCCCTAGATACCACCATGACGGTTGTTGTCCATTCCGACTTCGCCACTTAGATCTCTCATCAGGATAGTGAGATGCTTTATTGGGTATTTCTCTACAGTTGATTGCAGCTTCACATTGAACTGGTCTTTATCGTCTTGATTGCTATCACTGGTGGGTGCATAACACTGTACTCAGATATATGTGCACTTCAGTCTGACTTAGATGTTTTTATTAGCCGGTCTTAAAAGTGGTGGAAGCATATCATCGCGTCAAAATTTGTCTACATACGCTTTGTGGACACACAGTCATGATCTTAAAACCACATTACGCTGCTGCGAGATGGTAGCCAAATGGTTTGGAGTCCTATGGGCTTTAAAACAGACATTTACCAATTTAGTTACTAATATGTTCACCACAGTGCACACTACCTTCGAGATATCGAAAGTTGAAAACTGCATTCGTGAACTTCGGGGTTTATCATACAAAGCGCTGCTTGATAAGCAAGTCTTAACTCTGTTCTACCGCCGATTAATAAGTGAACTGATTTTGACGTACAAAATAATAAGAAATGATTTTGAACCTGATATATCCACCCTAATTTTCCACCGGGTCGGGACAACTCAGTGGACATAGCAGGCGAATAGAAAAGCCAAGAACGAATAGTATACCCGTGGCAAACAGGTTTCCACACCGAGCCATCAATCCTAGGAACCTGATACTCGAAGAAGTGGTGCCCACTTCCTCAAAAAATCCATTCAAGAGAAGAATGGAAACTCTCAAAAGTTTGCTAGAAAAGCCTTGGCGCTGGCCGTAGTTCTATCCTAACTTGAAAATCTGATTCTGGGATACAATAAATATTGGGACAAGATGTCCATCTAATGTTCCCAAAAAATGCCAATCCTTTCCAAAAAAAGCTCAGATAATTGTTGGCACAATAAGATACAATTTTATGAAATAAAATCCGACAATTTTCACGAAAATGAAAGAAACTGTATATTAGACAGACTAGTTGAGTTTTCAAATCTAAGCGTTACCGGTAGGTATACTTGTCTTCTCATGCAAAAATTTGTGATATTAGTTGACAGAATGACTATCGGCAATTATTTCGGAATTCCAGTATTAAGCTGATTTTTTCTGGTTAATAACCAATGTCATAAATATGTTACCACTATGGGTGATGAGAATATTCTCATCATAACATAACAGATTAGCTGACATATGTCAGCTAATCTGTTATGTTAGCAAAGTAATAAATATAGATAATGCAGATTTTGGCGTGGGATTCATTCTTGTAGGAAGGCCTGGTATTTTGCATCAAAGGGTTTATCATTTGTGTTGGAGAATATGAATGCTACTTGTGTTACTACAGAAGTTGTCATGTGCACTAGGTCTGTTTTAGAAAATGTTCAATAATCTTCAATGATATAGACTTATCTAAACTTCCATTTACTACGAACTAGAGACGAAAATTGGTTTAGATCAGAAGTCTTAATAAATATGAGAAATATTCAAGTACAGCTGAGAATTATATAATCCTCGGCAGTAAATGATGATATCAGTTCTATGTTAAATTATAAAATCCACATAAACCCAATATACATGAACAAGTTTTGCTCATTCTCCAACCTTAGGCTGGCCCTCAGAAAAACGCAATAAAGTGTCCGGCTCACGGTAATAAGTGACGGAGTCATGGTTGTTCATCACTTTTTGGTTCATGATTATGGTAATCGTATTCCTAGATAATCATGAATCCGGTCTTGATTCTCTGTCTTTATATAAAGTTTGGCATATGTAGGGTTCGTATCTGTTTTTAACGCATTTTGTGCGTTTAAGGTGTTAAAAAAGCTTGAAACAACTGAGATTTGATTCAGTTCATAGCCAATCAAAGAACAGCTTTTGTAATGAGTAGGTTATAGAGCAAACAATAATAATACAAAATGTAAGTAAATTTCGGACAGCTTATGGATTTAATGAAGTCTCCTACAAGTTACTACCCGTAGAACACCAAAATAACAAGACCGCCCATATTGCATATTCGTCTCCTCGAACCCTCATAATGACTCGAGTTGATTTTACAAGTCCTCTAATGCTTTTGATTAGGGTTAAAGATTCGCGGTCAGGATTGAAGTTTTCGTCATCAAGTGATATCTACTATTATGTGAAAACTCCCTGCAGCTATGTGGATAGAAGGATTTTACGTAAAGATTTAATGAGAAGCTATTTTGTTTATTTATCTGAACACAAATATTGGTACGAAGAGACACCGAATGCATATGCGCAACACAAGTCACTTAATTTGTGTGTGTGCCGTAATACTGCACGGGTGCCGAAACTGAAGCAGGTGGTTTTCTTAGGGAGCCGCACACACAGTCTTCGACCTAAAGGTCTGATCCACAAGGTAGTGTAGCAACGCCCGGAGTTGCAGTCCCATGGAAGCCTGTGACCAATGATTGGTTCACACGCCATTCGTTCCCTCAGAATCCTGCAGCCATGTGTACCATTGGTTTGAAATCAGGGTTTTCCAACTCTACTAGGTTGACCCTCTGTATCCACCAACCTGTTTAATGCTCCGGACATTCTCTTATCATCCTCTTGATTTCGTAAGCAACACCCCCGTCACAAAAAAGCAGTGAGTAGGACTTCCCTATCAGTGGCTGTATGCTTCTAACCATATAAGAGTATTTCGACAGGGAGAGCTGAATCTCCCCAATATCGGCCGTATCCGGGTATTTGGGGGTCATATGGTTAGTTTTTTCATGAAATATAATCTCAAGAGGCTAAGTTTCGTTTCAAGATTGAGTGTCTACAGTCGAGATTCGAATATAGTGTTCCTGTGATACACAACCAGTCGATGGACAATTAAGGATTTGATTGGCTTAACACTCATTTTCGCCCCATGTTGGAAACACAGATTTTTGCTATAATCTCAAGCATTCTAAGCGTTATTCAGAAATATCCGCACTGCTCGTCATACCTGGGATTCAAATTTTGTACATTAGCCCCCTGAGTAACATATCTTCAAAGTAAACTCGATTGCCATTACATATTTGAACTCCCTTCTACTAACTATTGGTTTTGTTGCAATTCATATTTCATTTTCAAAGCTGAGTGATTATATATATATATATATATATATATATATATATATATATACCCTCCTTGAACATTTTTTGCTGTTCATATGTAATAATATGGTTTTATTACATCTGTAGTTGTGGTGTATTCTTACTGTCAAACATTGGATTATGTGGTAATGGTATATTTCTTAACTAGTTCATTTTCAAAGGTGGAGATGTGTCACCGTGTTCAATCACAAATATATTTTTGAGTTTCACAGTAATGTCAGATTTATTAGACATAAACCATGGGTGCCTAAATTCAGGCTTATGCGTCAGATGCAACCGTATAATTCACCAGTTGATCTCAGTGAAGATAAAGTTAATGAGAATGAAAGCACATCAGATTTACGTAGAAGGTTACGTAGAAACGGAATGTTACCTCCCCTACTTTTTTATGATCGCCCAATAAATATTGGACATACAGGTAAACAGTCACTTTTGTCTTGAACTTAGAATTGTTTCTCTGTTAAAATTGGGAACAAATATCTTATTTGTGCTAACTTCTAAATTCATCTGACCAAAATGGATTCATATATTTGAGTGTATAGTGAAATTTTCGTGGACTGTACGACAGCACGGTTGTAATGATATGGCTTGACTTAAGGAAGAGGACGACGAGGCTAGATGAGGATTTGGTTAATGCCGAAAATATGTTGAGCACTACATTCAAGTGCACCGATATCTGTATGCTTTATTTAATGGTTAGCAATCAATTTTTGGATAAATTAAGCTGAGCACCAGTTAAGACTTATCAATCAGTAATGTACTGCATAAACGCAACTCATATCATGACTAAATTGTCACAACCAAAAAATATAACTTAGTCACTAGGCAATGTAAGTACTTCTCCCCTAATACCTAATGTACTGTCGACCATATGAGGGATTTGTACACCTGGAGCATCCAAACTATTTTCAATATACTAACTGCCACCCTCTATATTCTTATCTTTAAGTTATGAATGTTTTAGTGTATTTAGGCATCGTTAGAATACAATGAGATAGTGATAGGTTCAAAGATTCACATTTCAGTGGTTAGTATGTTTGACTGTTCTTATCTTTCTGACTTCAATCAATGCTAAACTAATTTCAATTAGGTACTTTTATGCAAATATAACCCTTGTGGTTTTATTTATATGAGAAAATCATTGTTATCCACTGCTAACCATTTGAAAAGTGTATACTCACTGTCTTGTCTGAAGTAACTATTATTATACTAAATAGACTTTCTCCCATTAAAAACAAAATAATGCATGTAAACTACTGTCTGTTTGTCTGGTGTCTTCTTAGGAACTATATTTGATCCGTATATCCCTCCTGATGGTGATGGTCAAAGTTCATTGTTGTCAACAAAGGTAGTTATTACATTTCAATGACAATTTTTGCATTGTGCGTTGTTTTCGCTTTTAGAGACTGACTATTTTAAAAGATAATCTCCTTAATAAGGGAAAAAACTATAAGGATTCATCACTGCTAAAATCACATGAACCATCATTTAATTCCAAACAGTTTGCTATCGAAGCTGAAAATATTTATGTTGAGGCTCATGATTTGTTACAAAAGTAAGTTTATATCAACTTATAAACCATTATGTCTATCATATGAAAATATATTTCGTATAATGGGTGCGTGTAATAGTTACAGTATTCCACAACTAAATCAGGACCCTATTGTTATTTATCAATTAAGGATAATCAGGAGGCCTTCATTTAAATTTTATGTCGATTTATAATACTAAAAATACAGTTATTTTTATATTATGTAATCAAATAAAGTTTCATATACTCAGCTTTAAGTCATACTTTTGGATTGTAAGCGTCAATGCTCCGAGGATAAGAAAGCTGAATATCCAGTGCAGAATATATGTTTGAGACCCAACTGTCTTAAACCAACTGTTCTTACCACTACGTCATAGCTTACAACTTCATTTTAAGTACCTGGATAGTATCACTAACAGTGGTGGGTAGCGAAAGCAAGAGAGATGGAAAAGGCAGCGGCAATAGGTAACAGCAGGCAACTGTTCAGACTTGTTATGGAAACCGGTATTAGGAACCCAATTGTTAGCGAAACAATCGCAGAGAAAGATGGACATATTATTCATTCTCAATCCAGGAGATTGGATCGATGGGCAGAATTCTTTAGGGATCAGTTCAACTGGCCTTCAGCCACACTTCGGTTTCCCACGATCTCCAGTCGACCTGAATGGCAAGTTGATGTAAGTCCTCCGACTCTTTACGAAGTTGAAAAAGCTATAGGAAATCTGAAGCGTGGGAGAGCAGCAGGTCCTGACAGGTTTACCCCTGAGATTTTTAAGGATGGCGGTCCAGTATTTGCAGCGAGATTGACTGAGGTCTTAGGTAGAATCTGGGAACTGGACGTAATCCCATCTGACTGGTCTCAATCACTGATTGTACCAGTCTATAAGAAAGGACAAAAGTCCTCCTGCGACAATCACAGAGGAATTAGTTTGACTAATATAGTGTCTAAAATATTAGCTTCAATAATACTTCGACGTCTAACCAAAGCTCGTGAAGAGCAGACTAGAGAAAACCAGGCTGGTTTTCGACCTGGACGTGGTTGTATTGATCAAATATTCACATTACGTCATGTCCTAGAACATAGACACACATTCAGACGTCCCACAATGGTAGTATTTCTCGACCTTAAGGCGGCATTTGACTCTGTTGATCGAGAGGTTCTATGGCAGTGTTTGTCACTGAAGGGAGTACCAAAGAAGTACATCAACCTTATAAAGGCTCTCTACTCGAACACAACTGGTCGAGTGAGAGCTTATGGTGAACTGTCATCAGAACTGATTACCTCAAGTGGTGTTCGTCAGGGCTGTCCACTCTCTCCATTCTTGTTTAACTTTGTCGTTGACGTCCTTTTAGAGATGACACTTTCCTCATCTAAATTTCCAGGAGTTGAACTTCTACCGGGAGATCCACTTGTTGACTTAGAATATGCCGATGACATAGTTCTATTTAGTGAAGACGCTGACAGAATGCAGAGTCTGCTGACCACTCTAAGCAACAATGCAAGCCTGTTCGGCATGTGATTCTCTCCCTCGAAATGCAAAATGTTACTTCAGGATTGGGTTGCGTCAACACCCGAACTAGTGATAGGGAGTGAAGTAGTTGAGCGTGTCGACCGCTTCACTTATCTCGGAAGTCTCATCAGCCCTTGTGGTTTGGTGTGTGACGAAATCTCAGCACGGATATAAAAGGCTCGACTAGCTTTTGCCAACTTGCGTCATTTGTGGCGTAGGCGAGATATCCGTCTATCAACCAAAGGACGTGTTTACTGCGCAGCAGTTCGTTCCGTCCTACTCTATGGCAATGAAACATGGCCGGTAAGAGTAGAGGATATTCGTAGGTTACTAGTTTGTGACCATAGGTGTCTTCGCAACGTTGCTCCTATATCCTGGGACCAACAAGTAAGTAATGCAGTTGTTATGAAACGGGTACTAGGTAAGGATGGCAAATCAATTGAGGAAGTAGTGAAACTTAATCAGTTGAGATGGCTGGGACATGTGTTGCGTATGCCCGACCACCGACTGCCCCGACGTGTGATGCTTTATGGTGTAGGAGTAGGTTGGAAGAAAGCTAGGGGCGGCCACACCAAAACATGGCACAAATCCATGAAGTCACTGACAAGTGGACTGAGTCATGTTGGTAGGTGTAGACTACCTGGTTGGGGACCGCGAGACGATAGCAACCGATGGTTAGAGAATTTGAATGACATGGCTCAAAATCGTTTGCAATGGCGCAGGTGCATCCACTCTTTGTGTTCTCTCAAACTCTAATCTTCTGAATTCTTCATGTCCTTTATTTTCTTTCCCAATTTATTCCACTGGACTATACTCCTTTAATAACATCATCAAACCTTAATGTCCCCTATCTCTACTTATACTTTCAGTACCTCTACCACTATGGGATTTGAATCGATAACTGAATCTCTGTGCTAATGTGGTATGGCAACTCGAAATGATGTACGTACGTACGAAGTTCCACGTTGTTACTGACTGACTGATCACTAACTCTCGAATTGAACGGCTAGATCAAACTCAAATGCACAATAGTTTTCTTAGTTACTTACATGGATTGAAATAATTAATTGTTAAATTTTTTACAGTATGATGTAACTTTTCTCGACGTTTTCACCACAGTTGTACTGTTACCGTCAATGTCATTCTCACGGTTACTCTCCAAAATAAATATTATCATCCCTGAACTGTCCAAGTAACACCCACTTACTACTTTGTGTCGACCTGTGAGTAATTTATTCCTATTTTGCTTGTGTTTTAAGAGTAGACGAAAAACATGTCGCACTGCTATGATCTACTATCCGTCAGTATCTGATCTGGTAATGTTTGTAGAAGAAGCTTCATCGCAATAACATTAGCGAAGCAATATGTAATTTCCGCTAAAGTTTCTATGATATGCTTGGCTTCGCTCAATACTCTAATTGTGGGGGCTAGTTACACTACTCGGTCTCCCGAATCGAAATAGGTTTAGGTGGTTTCAAACTTGCGGTTCGATGAACAAAAGTCGAAAGCCTTAGCCACTGTTCCGAAGTGTCATCTAATTAGTATATAGTATTTAGTTTATGGCAAGTTTTACTATGGTATGTGTTGGGGTATTCAGAAAATGCCCCAGAAATTATCTAATGCTATTCCTGAATGAGAAGTAGTGTCATTTCCCTATTGGTCAACATTCTCCCAACGTGTCATCTCCTTATTGGTCAATATTTATTTGTGTCACTTCCTGAAGGTTAAATCTTGTACAAATGTTACTTTCTATTTTATGGTACGATGTAGTCTGTTTGTTTGGTATATAAATATAACGATTCATATCTCCGAGGCTGAGACTTGTGTTCTGGACTCAATTGGCTGGGCTAGACAGGGAAGCAGGACCAATCAGAGCTCTAGGCTGCGCGGTCGTATTTTGTGCGTCACTGTTTCGATCGATAATAGGCTGCTCTCTAATAGGCGGATCACACGTTATAACAGTATGAATGTATATCTATGTTACCTACCTCCGTTACTCCTCGTGAGGAATAGGCCACTAACCGGGGATCTTCAACCAACTATCCTGGGCTCTCCTTTCTAGATTTTCCTGAGTGTTTTTCATTACTGATGTTTGCCCTTAGTCCCTGGCTCATGTTATTTGACCTGCCTCTTTTCATCTTGCATAGGAGATTCCAAGTTA